ACAATGCCTTATCATCTCTCCGCCCATTTGTATACGTACGGCGTACACAGTACGTGCTTTGGCGCCTTTGGGATGGGGAAGTATGGCACAACACCTGCATGGCGCGATCCAGACTCGTCGTGTGATTGATGGCTCTGAATGGCAGCATGTTCTCTGTGGCCTGTCGAGAGGCACAACCTGCCATAAGCCTGAAACCTTAACCCTAACACCTAAACCCGACAGCCCGTACCAACAAGCACTCATTGTGCTGAAAGTCCCTGAGGTGTTCTGTTTGTGGGACACTGCTGGTTAGGGCTCCTGGTAACAGTGCAAGCCTAACACCTGTACAAACGGTGAGCAGGTCAAACCCTAAACACTAAGCCTTGCAATGCGACGTATCCCGAGGATGATGATTAGTTGAAAACTGACATAGGTAGGCAAAACACAGACGAAGAAGCCCTTCTTGAACTCTAATCCCTTGTAGGGCTGGACGATGCATGACTGGCTTGAGCGTGAGCGCCCATGCAAGCAGAGATCCCAAAAGCCTACAATCATTGACTGTGTTACAAGTATGACTGGGCTCCTTGGATGTCAGGCTTAGGGAAGTTTAGGGTGCTCGGTGATCGAGGTTTACCGGTCACGGATCCTACTCCCTACTACTTGGAGCCTATATTCAGGGCCCCCTATTTTCTGAAACTCCCATACACCCTAAAACCTGAACCCTAAACCCTAAACCCTGAACCCCTTGCCAGACCGGAAGTCGTTTGAAACCATCGAAAGCACCACGAAGACCCGCTATACCCTACCTATAGTTTCCATTGTAGTTCCTCTTTTTGGTTTAACCAATTCTATATAAAGGATCCTGAAAGGTAGCCCCAAAAAGGAACTACAATGGAGACTTTAGGTAACCCTTAAAGCCTGCCAGGGTCAAGTGCTTGAGGTCCAGGAAATCCACCACCCAAAACCCGACAACCTAAACCCACTAAACTCTAATTTTAAGCCCCTAAACCCTAAAACCCCAAACCCACTAAACTCTAATGTTAAGCCCCTAAACCCTGAAACCCTCAAACCCTAAGCTCTAGTTTCAAGCCCCTAAACCCTAAAACCCTAAATCCCGACGCCCAAACCTCCAAGCAAAGGCCGATTTGCTTGTCTCTTGGCGACTTTCCTGTGGCCTGGGCTGACCTGACATTCATTTCAGGGTTTACCTATAGTCTCCATTGTAGTTCCTTTTTGGGGCTACCTTTTAGGATCCTTTATGTAGAATTGGTTAAACCAAAAAAAAGGAACTACAATGGAGACTATGGGTAGGTCTTTAGTTTCTTTTTTTGAGGGTTTAGGGTTTCGGGTATAGGGTTCGGCTTGAAGGTTTAGGGTTTAAGGCTTAAGGGTTTTTCAGGTTAAAGTGCGGTCCGGTTTAAGGTTTAGGAGTTTTAGCACGGTGTTCGTTGTTTCTATACCGGCTCACAGTTTGCCCTCTTATGTCTGTCGTCCATTACTATGTTTCCTATCCGTCTCGAAGCATATCCCATACTGGGATACCCAAACACTGAAGATGGGGTTTCGGTATACACTATATAAGAAGCCTCACCAAACAAGAGCATCCCTAATTGTTCAGGCTTCCAAAGAGCTTGGGCTGGGGGTTGCGTTTCACAGGGATCGGGGTTCAGGCTCCGAAAGGCTTCCACGGTTAGGGTTTGCGACTCTCTGCCATGCGACTTGAAGCAGGACCCTATATCAGGACCCTCAAGGCTTAGGGTTATAGGGCTTCAAAGCCTAAACCCTCAAACCTTTCAGGGTTAGGGCGTCAAGGTGTGGGAGGCTCTGGCTGGCGAGACTGCATCATAGCACTTGGCACCTCAGCCCACTTACGGCTTTTAGGGCAGATCCTGGGCCGATCTTGCACGTCTCATGGAATGCTGCTGTTGATTGGTGACGAGGCAGATGATCTATAGCCGGAATATGCATCTACTCCTTGTAAATGTCTTAATCTGCTGTTTGCGTTTCAGGCCCACGCCCAAAAAGAGACGCAGGCCGGACCACTAACCCCAACATAAAAGCCGCTGCGACAAAAAACACCTCAAACCCTAAACCATAAACCCAAACCCCAAACCCCTAAACCCGAAACCCTAACCCCTAAACCCGAAACCCTAACCCCTAAACCCGAAACCCTAACCCAAAAACCAAAACCCTAACGCCCCCAAACCCCCTGAGCCCTGCAGCCTAAACGCTTAGTTAAGCCCACAGGGGTTTAGGGTTTAGGTTTAGGGTTTAGGGTTTAGGAGTTTAGGGGTTTAGGGTTTCGGGTTTGGGTTTAGGGGTTTAGGGGTTTAGGGGTTTAGGGTTCAGGGGTTTCGGGTCTAGGGTTATAAGCTCAGAATATCCCAACAGCCATATATATATACATACATATATATATATATGTATGTATATATACATATATATATATATGTATATATATATGTATGTATATATATATATAGGTATCTATGTATATATGTATGTATATATATATATATAATTATATCAATCATGGGTTTTGGGCCCCCAAAACCTCATGCTATGCGTAAACCCCGTTCCACCTCGAACCGAATATAAGGCCTTAACACTGAGACTGGATTTGTTAGGTTGGTGCAGACTTGCGTTCAGAAGTCTGAACACCGGAGGCTTTGGCCTGGGAGGTACATTACATCTTATAACTATACAAAGGAACCCTGACGCATAGCATCGCTAATCGCAAATGCTTACTGATTAATCATTCCGGCCCCCTCCCAAAACCCTAAGCCCCTAGCCTCGTAAACCTGCACCTTAAGCCCCCCCCCCCCCTGTGTTAGGGCCAGTGACTCGGGAACATGACACAGATCCGGCTGCGACGACGATGCAGCTCGACATGCAATGCCTCGGAGCCGTCTCGAGCTTTGGGAGCTCAAGAGTTATAGGGTTTAAGGTTTATAGGGTTCCTAAGCCCTAAACCCTAAACCCTGGAGCCTAAGCGCTTTCGGCTTTTAGGGCGTAAGGTTTTAGAACTTCGAGGGTTCTGGTTTTATGAGTTCAGGGTTTTTGGGGGTTCTCGGGGGTTTAGGGATCCTTGGCTTTAGGGTTGCTAGGTTCAGGGCTTTAAAGCTTCGCGGCTTAAGGGCCTGGGGATGTAGGGTTTCGGATCTAAGTACTTAAGGTTTCTGCGGGTTCAGGGTTTTAAGGCTTCGCAGGGTTAGGGCTGAGCATTTGGTTTGAGGGTTTGGGGGTTTAGGGCCCAGGGTTGGGGTCATAGGGCTTATAGGATCGATTCTAGAGGTTCTGCTTTTCACTTATTCCCGGCTAGTCCCCACTTAAAGCCTACATGGGGAGTTCTCTAAATTAGGGCCCCCTTTTAGGTCCCAATCTAGTACGGCACCCTTATAAAAAGGACCCAAAAAGGTACCCTAATTTAGAGAACTGCCCACATAGCTAGAGCCTGAAGCCTGCACCCTAGACCCCAACACGACCACCGCCTTAAAGACTCGACGAAGGTTCAAAGAATGCCGGAGCGCACCCTAAAGACCCAGTTCGCACATGCAAGAGGCCGGATGAAAGCTGTGACAAGAGGCTGTTTATGGCTCGAAAAGTAAGATTCTTCGCTCTTGCAGTGATGATACGTATTTTTGGGGACGTGTAGCAGTTGAAGTGTTTAGAGTCTAAGGCTAAGGTTTAAGGATGCAAAAGCTCGCAGGTCTTTGTTCACGTGTCCCTGTGGCTACGAAAGCCGCACGGCCTGGAATCTTAGCGGGAAGAACCAGAAAGTTGAATTTGTCGAACATGCTGATGAAAAAGCCTTTACCCAACGCTCATAAACTCCGAACTTGGGGCCGAGTGCTTATGTTTCGGGGCCATGCAACTTCAGATGAAAGGGTGCCTTTTGGACTTTAGACCCTTTTTGTGGCCATGGCTGGAAGTCAAGGTCTAGCTGCAGCGACTCAACCCGATTGCGCCCGCTTCGTACTGAGGGAGCCCAATACCCCTTAGTTAGGTAATATACCTTAAATCATGATATTAAGGCCCCTATTAGTTTAAGGTATATTCCTGATTTAAGGGGTGTTGGCGGTATTGGGTTCTCTGGGACAGTGCCCCACGGAAGTCGCGCTGCGGGAGTCTCTCTGCCTGTGAAAACATTAGACGAGGGTCACGTGCTCTATCTCTATACTTTCACTCGTGGCACGGCTTGGCATTGGCTGGCTTCGGTTTGGCTGGCTGTGAGTGGTGTATGGGTGGTCCTGGGAGGGCTTGTCTTTACGCTACTGCACGCTGACCACCTGCCGAGCACATCCTAAGCCGTAAATCCCAAAGACTTAACCCGCACTCCTTCCCAATACAATGATTCGCCACGCAACTGGTGGGCAATGGGCTCATATTGCGCATCCTGCGCTGAAAGCACAGACACCAACTCGAATCACTGATGAAAGACACTGTCCAGGACCTTCAAGTGCCCTTTGCTAGAACCCGTACGGTTCTCAATGAGCTATTTAGTGTATGTTAGAGGGTAGATGGGAGGTCCAGGATAGCCCTAAACCCGAAACCTAAACCCTTTAGGGACATCCCCCTTACAGGTTCCAACATTGCTGCCACCCCCCAAGCAGAAACTCTCCATGCATTTGGCCCCATGCTGAGGCCAACATCTATTTGATTAGTGCTCCAGTACATACACCCGAGGGCGACCTCAAAACAACTCCGCACGTGAACCGAAGACAACAGGCAACGAAGGGTTCTAAATTCTAAAAATTTAGACAAGGGGATTGGGGTCCATATTCTGCTATGTCTATGCTCTGAAGCCCTCAGGAATAATGATTCTTAAATAATCCTCCAGGCCCTCTACTGTAAAAGATCACTGAATCACCCTTTTTCCCCGGCTTCCGGAACCTGAATGGGCACTAATCTGATCCGAGGTTCGAGCTTGCAAATCCTAAGCACAGCTGGCATGCTTCGATTACGCTGTGGGGCTCAAGTTCAGAAGCGTAGGGGCTTTTAAGGCGGCAGGCCCCCGCTGCCTCTGGGCTCAAGCCACCACCAAAGATGCTCCAGGTGACATTCTCCCCGCCAGGGTGCACCTTGGGTGGTTTAGGGCTGGGCTGCTTAGCGTCCTAACGTCTTTGGGCTTAGGGCCAAAGGCTCAGGGCTATATCGGTTCTGGACACGTTTCACCCAACTATGCTTGTGCTTACAAGCAAATGATACCATGGTAGGTTATCATGTGTGCGGTCAAGCAGTAGATACTAAGTAGCCTGAACCTCCAAGGAAGGTCTATAATGGTCAAAGGGCCATTGCTACGCTGACCAACACGGATTCTTACCATTGCTACTGCTGTTCCTTGGGCGTCCATGTGCCTGTGGCCTACAGTACATTACTTGATCCTACAGCACCTATACACGAATTCCTTTTCAGGCCATGCTGTGTACCATGTGGGCACAGGGATGCCCAGAAAACTCTTAATTGCAAGCACTATCGAACCCCAAGAAGACGTTATGAGATCCTCCAAGGAATCCGTTATAAAGGAACTGTTAGAGTGCTGCTTTCATAGGCAGAGCACTGGCATCTCCATAACGATGTCCCCACAGGTGGTGTCGCAAGTATTCTCGCGCTGCCTGAACACGGGAATCCAGATCTTCGGTGTTGAGGTTTAGGGCTACAAACCCTAAACCATAAACCCTAAACCCTAGGCTACAGTGAGTGTATGGTTTAAGGCTTACAGGTTGTAGAGCTTAGGGTTTAGAGCCTTGAGGGCTCGGGGCCTACATTGTTTAGGAGTTTAGGGCTTAGGGCTTGCAAGGTTTAGAGTAGAAGGTGTAGGGGCCAGTAAGTTATAAGGCTTGGAGTTGAGGGCTTGAGGGCTTATAAGGTTTTGAGAATCTAGGGTTTAGGGCTTGTAAGCCTAAGAGCTTAGGTCTTACGTAGGTCGTATGGGTAGTTCTCTCCCTTTTTAAGAGCCTTTGAACAAAGGTGCTGTACTATATTGGGGGGCCCAAGAAGGCACCCTAATTTAGAGCTAAACCCTAAACCCTTCTTTTTGAGGCTTTGTCTTTAGGCTCGCGTGCTTCTGGCAATACGAGGTCGCCTGATGGCTTAGGGTTTGGGTTTCGGGTTTATTTTTTTTTGGTTTACGGTTTAGGGTTTAGGGCTTGGGGTTTGGGTTTAGGGTTCACCTGCCGCGGCCCCCCACAAAAAGCAAAAGAAGAGATGGGCATTAGGGTTTAGGGGTTTAGGGGGTTTAGCAGGGGTTTAGCAGGGGTTTAGGGGTTAGGGATGTGGCCTACGAGGATCCCTAAACCAATCCCCTAGAGCGTCAGATACGGAGCTCAGCTTGGAAAGCAGTCCACTCCCCGGATCTTGCCCTCAGGGCCCCTTGTACCCAACTAGCTTTAAGAGCTCCTTTAAGGGTTCCTTTAAGGGTTCCTTTAAGGGCACTATATGGGTTTAGGGTTTAGGGTCTAAGGGTCCATGTACCCAACTAGCATATGCTTTGGCCCCAAAGTACTTATATAGGGACGGCTTTAAGGCCAAAGTAATATACTATTTTTGGGGTACATGGACCCTTAGGGTTGCATAAGCGAAGCCTCTCTTGAGCCTCAGGGATCCACAGAGCAGTAAGACTCAGGAGTTGTTGTAGCGAGGGTTTTGCGGTTTCAGGAATACGAATTTAAAGGTTTTAGGGCTTCAAAGTTGCGAGGTTTGGACTTTCCCCCTAAACCCTAAACCCAACTTTACAGGTCAGGGCTGTCGCACGGCGCAGGGTTTCGGATCCCATGGGCTCTGGATCCCAAACTCACAGCCGAGACACCACTGTTCCATCTTGGTCATGAACGTGGGCAGGTGTTTCTTGACGTACCTAGGCTTTAGGGTTTAGGGTTTTTGTTTTATAGGGTTTAGGTGTTGCATTGTTTTTTTGGGGGGGATTTACCTGGGCTCAGGATTCCAAATCCCTATAAGGCTGCAGTGCCCAAACGTCTCCCGACTATGAACTCAAGAAAAGGACTGTCGGCAGCTGCCCATCTTTCCCCGCTCGACAACAGGAAGCACCGAAGTCCAGCGATGCTAGCAATCCAGCATTTTGGGCGAGGAGTTCGTTGAATTTTGCAAATGCTAAGTGCGGAAAAGTGTAGTAGTTTCTCAAGTGCCCAGACTTGCCACAACTAATTTGAGCCACTAGATCTCAGCTCCAGAATGCAAAAAGAGGGTTTCGAGTTGCGGTGTACTTAGGTTCTAGAGTCTAGCTATAGGGCTACCGGAGCTCATGCATGTCAAGAGATTACCCCGAAGACGAGAAAAATTCTCAATCATGCGCCGGTCAGCGGCTACTGGAAGGATCAGGGGACATAAATTTTGCTTCCCAAGTCCTCTGATCCTTCAACTATAGTAGTCGGAGCCCCAAAGTTGGGAGTCCAATAGCCTCAATCCTGAAGAGTGGTAATCCCGAGCAAAAAAATGTCCTTAATCCGGTTTTCAACTTCTTAGGGCTTACTATACTAGATCAGACCAAGGGTGCTCCATCCGAAACCCTAAACCCTTAAAGTCCCTGAGCCTCAAACCCCCAGACCCGCCAGAGCCTATCCATGGATCCCAAGACCTACCGGCTAAGGGTGAAGCCCTAGAATTATGCGGCCATGACCTACTACTTTCTGGGCTTGCGGCTGCAGGTAAACCCGAAGCCATAAACCCTAAACCCTAACCCCCCTAAACCCCCTAAACCCTAAACCCTAAACCCCGAAGCCATAAACCCTCAAAAAGGGTAGATTCCCCTTCTGAATGCCAAAGCCCGAAAGCTGCCCTAAACCCTAATTCCACAAAACCCCAACTCCGAAACAACCCAGAGTGCTACACATCCCAACAGCCCTAAAGCTACAGCCCCAAAAAAAGGTGGGGTCGTAGGGGGGTTATAGTACCCCCAAAAACGTTAAAGATTACCTACTCACTCCCGTAAAAGGGTCCATGTGCCCAAGCAATACATACCTTGGCCGTAGAGTAGTTTTGTTATAGGACACCTGGGGGCCAAAGTGTTTTCTATTTGGATACATGGACCATGGAGCCTTAGGATACCAAGGTGCTGGACGGAGGGAAGCTTTGCCAGGCAGTGCCGCTGCAAATCAACTTTGTCCTGGCTCGTGGTTTCTGCTTCACAAGACGGTTTGAGGCTGAGGGTTTATAGGGCTTAAGGTCTGGGTTTACGGCGTAGGGTTCAGGGTTTAGAGCTTGGGGTTTTATAGGGATTAGGTTTATGTCGAAGGTTGAGGGTTTAGGGCTACTAAGAAGGTTCAAGATACTGGAAGAGGTCACCTTAAAGGATAGTATAATGGACACGAGAAACCAAAGCAGGTCGCTCGACGTCGGCTGTGTGGCTGCTGTAAGGGTTGCCATAAGGAGTCGTACAAGGGTTCTAGATGGTAGTTTCCGAAAATGAGGGGTACCTTATTTTTGGGGTCCTTATAATAAGGATCCTACTATTTAGGGTACTATACTAGGGTCCCCTATTTTCGGAAACCCCCAGATGGGCTTAGGGCTGCAGCAAGGAAGCGGTTGGAGATCCGCCCCTCCACTGTCGACAAGCAGAACTCCGGTAGAATCAGGAACCGCCTTCTGCGAAACCATACTCTGGGGCTCCAAATAGCCCAAAGTAGGTCCTTTTTCAGACTTTAGGCCCCAAAGTATAGGTACCGTTTGCATACTTGGAGCCCTTGGGATAGTACATGGGATATTTGTGCTACTAGGAAAGGCCAAACCGCGCAGCCCCAAATCCTAAAACACCCAAACCCAAAACCCAAAACCCTAAACCAAAACACCCAAACCCTGAACCCTAAAACCCGAGCCCCAAACCTGTCCTTTGCATAGCGGTGCTGGGTCAGAGCCTCCTGCTGCAAAGCCATGTGCTCGTACTTCGTGTACTCGGGGTACGGAATCTGGAGTTGGTACCTGCGCCAAGCTGCTACAGTTTGAAGTCTGGGTTTTCAGGTCTAGTTTAAGAGCCGGAAACCCTTAAGCTTCAAGCCTTCCACACAAACCCAACACCCAGAACCGTAGTGGGAACCCTAAACCCTAAACCCAGGCACGTCTGGTCGAACTTGCCGTTCTCAATCTTCAGGACATCACCGGGGTCGAAGTCGCCCGGAAGAAGCTGTCGCGCACCTTCACTCCGTAAGGCTGCTTGAGGTCTTTAGGGTTTAGGGTTTTGGGTTTAGGGCCTAGTAGGATTTATTCGGGTTAAGAAACATTTTAAAAAAGGCTGAAACCTAAACCGGCCCCCGAAACCCCTAAACTGTCGCCTGGGAACCTAACCTTGTTCGCCGCTCCTAAACCCAAAGGGTCCAAAGTACCTATATAGTAGAATGTAGGGTTTCTATATTAGGAATTGTTATTATGAATTGGGGAAGTATCCACCATAACAGTGCCTAGGAGCCTTTGGGTAAACCCTCAACTCTAGAGCGATACTCTTGAGCCTCACCGTGTTGAGAACTCCTCGCCTCGGCCGGCTCTATGGGGTTTAGGGCTTAAGGTTTGGGGGTTAGGGTTTAGCTTGTAGGATTGCGTACACTCATGCAAACTTGAGAATGCCTTAGGGTTTTCATTCAGGAGTTTTAGGTGTGAGCTTGGGAAATGTGAATATGAGCTCCAATGTAGACTACATGCACATAAACAGCAGGATCCTTAAGACGAGGACCCCCGTCGTCTGAAAAAGCCCTGAACAGTCTCTCGACTTCTTGCCCAAAGAATCTAAGAACACATGGTAAAACCCCTGGAAGCTATGGCTACATCATGTCTTGCACAGGGTGCGTCTCCAACCGTCACGACAAAGAGCAGCTGCGTCCGAAGCTGAATAACCCTAAACCCTAAACCCTAAACATGGCCAGAAATGATCTCCGGAACCAGGCTGTTTTAGGTAATGCCTTCTGGTATCAAGGTTTAGATTTAGGGCCGGCTTAGGTTCACAGATTCCAAAATCCCTTCATACTATAATTTAGGGATTTATTAAAGCTATATTCCGAACAAGACGGACCTTAGAAGGTCTTTGAGGGGTGGCTCCGGCCACAAGTGAGATGTCAGAGAGCACGGTGCTTGAGAACAGTGATTTAGGGTTTAGGGTCTCTACCTGGATCCTGAATTGCAGTGTTTGTCGGATAATTATGCTGGGATGTGGTCAAGTTCCTATAATACGAAAACGAAATATCCACAGAACAACACACCTCTGAATTTTGGAAAAGCCTGCAGCCCTAGCCACCAGCTATACAGAAGCACTGAACGCGTCAGCGCTTTGAGCTTGGTGCCTAATCTTCACCTATACATCAAACAGCCCGGACAAAAGCCACTGATATCTGGATTTTTCGAAAACAAGGGGTACCTTATTTGGGGGTCCTTATAATAAGGATCCTACTGTTTAGGGTACTACATTAAGGTCCCCTATTTCGGAAACCCCATACATCAAACAGCCCGGACAAAAGCCACTGATCCCACTGATATCTTATGCAACGCATAGAAGCATTCAACAGAGCCCTCGCATGTACCCAAACGGCTCGTTTACCCGGTTTAGTACGCAAGAGCCCGAAAGCCGCCTCACAGCAAGGTATCAGGGACGTGGATCCTACAAAGCAAAAGCAATGACAAGACCGTATAGCAAAGACCCACCGAAGCCGAATATAAAATCCTACAGAATCCGTGAAAGGAACCCTGAGACCCCAAGTTGATCCGGCACCTACATTAGGCCCCACCTGACATGGAGTTCAGGAGGCCAAAGGCCTGGCTCGTGACGCTGTCATCCCTGGCCAACTTTATCTCGGGGGTTTCGGGCTCAGGGAGTTCAAGGTTTCAGGTTCAGGGTCTAAGTTAGGGGTTTCAGTAGAAGCAGATTCCGTGGTGGTGGTGGTGGTCTTCGTCATAGGAGAAATCAAAGCAATAGTGGGTGTAGTAGTGGTGGCAATAATAATCAAAAAGTAGTCGTAGTAGTAGCAGTAGTACTAGCAGCAG